TTTCAACTTCTCTCAATGGTGAGAATTATCCAACTTGGTGCAAAGCCATGTTGAATGCTCTGAGGGCCAGGAACAATGTCGGCTTTGTAGATGGATCGATTGAGAAACCAGACTCAATCAAGACAGCTGAATTGCAATCATGGAAACACTGCAATTCCACTGTTATTTCTTGGATTTACAATGCCTTGGCCCGTAACCTTCATGAAAGCATTGCATACATAGACAATGCCAATGAGATCTATAAAGACTTGGAAGACAGGTATTCTTAAGGTAATGCCCCAATGATCTTCCATCTCAAGCGTGAATTAACCCTTCCCTTACAAGACAATTTGCCTGTCACTGTGTATTTTACAAAGATGAAAAGCTTGTGGGATGAGTTAGTTGTCTACAACTCCATCCCGTCTTGCACATATGGTATTTGTACATGCGGATCCTCCAAAGAATTTATTGTTGAATGAGAAAAAGAGATAATCTATCACATGTGAGATGAGTTGGCTGTCTACAACTCCATCCCATCTTGCACATGTGGTATCTGTACATGTGGATCCTCTAAAGAATTTATTGTTAAACAGAAAAATAGAGAATCTATTAATTCCTTGTGGGATTGAGTGACAAATTCAACACTGTTCGATCTAATATCCTAGGCATGGAGCCATTGCCCAATGCCAGCAAGATTTATGCTCTTGTGTTACAATAAAATAAGCATCAATCTCTGGTTGGAAGTCAAACTCTTGTACCTTATGCAGCAACACTTCAAGTTTCCAGTTCTATGAAGAACAATTCAAAGAATTTAAAAGACCGCTCACGCTATCGTTGTGACCACTGCAAAAAGAATGGTCACACAAAGGACCGGTGTTACGAATTGTTTGGATACCCTTCAAACTGTGACAATAAATCAAAACGAGCAATAGCTGGCCAAGATCATGATAAATCAAGTGGAAAATCTTCTACCTCTGATCAAAATGACACCACACTTGAAAGTTCTCCAATTACCAGCCTAATTGCAGAGCAATATCAGCAATTTATCACTATGCTTAACAGTTTTGCACAAACAGTCTCTTCAAATTTTGCATGTAAGGCATTTGTTCATCCATATTGGACTTCTTATTCTTCAACCTATAATCTTGACAATGAGGTCTCAAATCATATGGCTCCCACCTCATTTGCTCCACAAATTGAACCATAGTATGTTTTGTTTAAACCCGTTCAGCTCCCTGATGGCCAAACCATACCTGTAACCTCCTAAGGGAATGTTACCATTTCACCTAGCCTCACCTTACACAATGTGCTCTTCATCCCAGAGTTTTGATGCAATCTAATTTCTCTTAGTAGATTGACATCTAATTACAATTGTGCGGTATTATTTTTTCCAACCTTTTGCGTTCTAAAGGACTTGATATCCAATAAGCCGATTGGGATGGGACATAGGTGTGATGGCATTTACTATCTGTCTACAACATCATCCACTACAACCTTACATACTATCGGGAATATCAACATTGACTACTCCAGCATTTGGCACCACCGACTAGGTCATGCCTCTTATGATAGACTGTCACAAATAAATATTTTACCTATAGCTACTTCTGCTCATAAAGCTTGTTGTGGTGTATGTTTTAGATCTAAACAGACACAAAATCTATTTCCACTTAACTGTATTCATAGTTCCGCACCATTTGAACTGCTTCACTGTGACATATGGGGAGGATACCACACACCATCCAACATGGGTGCACACTACTTCTTAACCATCATGGATGACTTCACTAGATCCACATGGGTCTATTTGTTGAAACGCATATTAGATGTCTATTCATTTTTCATTATGTCTTGTGTGATTGTGAACAATCAATCTGGGTTTAAAGTAAAAGGAATTCGATTTGACAATGGATCTGAATTTGTGTATGGACCCCTTAAACAATGCTTGTATGATCATGGAATTATTCATCAACGGTTTGGTGTTGATACTCGTCAACAAAATGGGGTTGTCGAACGCAAGCACCATCACCTATTGGAAGTGGCAAGAGTTTTATGATTCCATGCTGGACTTCCAATCAAAAATTGGGGCGAATGTGTGCTAACAACTGCACATATCATCAACTATCTTCCCACACCATTGCTCTCGGGGCGAAGTCCTTATGAAGATCTCTTTGGCAAACCCCCATCTTATGATCACTTCAGAGTATTTGGATGTTTTTGATATGCTCATGCATCTCAGCGGACTCGTGACAAATTTGCAACACGTTTTAATTGTTGCATATTAGTTGGCTACCCTCATGGACAAAAAGGGTATTGGTTATACAACATGGACATGGGTGTAAGCACCTGATTTTTGCTAAGTCCGCCCACCTCTAAACCCAATTCACCCTAAACACTCAATCAGACTCATTCGACCTCTCCGAAAAACCTAAAAATCCCAACTTTTAGCCCAAAAGCCCTCAAATCCACCATTAAACCTGTCTAATACCAATTTGATGCCCCGATCAATCCCTCACTCACACCTCAACCATTAGATCAGACACAACCACCAGACCCGAACCTCTTAAAACACCTACCCATTAATTTGAACTAAAGATTCCTTCATTCACCCGTTCATCAAACAAAGTTTTCATTTCGATCATTCTCGCACCCACAACCCGTATCCACTTGGAATTCAGATTTCCTTGATCCGAACACATCTAAATCAATCAAACCTTTCAAATCACCTCAGACTGCTTAACAACCATACATTGTGAAATTTCACCAAAAACTGCCTTTGTTTGCCTCTTTATTGCACAAAGATTCTATTTCGAGCCCCTAGATTAACTAAATCAAGCCATTTTCAGGTTTGTCCAATCCGGGCCCAGTTGGGCAAATCAGACCCCACCAATCAATTCAAAATGTTTGAAAACCCCATCCTATAAAATTTTAACCAAAAAGATTCCATTTTGGCAAATCCTGTTAGCTCATACACGCAAACATACTCTCTGTGGCCTGATCCATCTCAACCCTCCATTTTTTATCCAAAATCTCGGCCATCCATCAAGAACACCGGTTTGACCAGACTTTTCCGAAATTACAAAAGTACCCCTCGCATTCACCAAAATTACGAAGCTGCCCCTGCCCCCCATATAAATTCAACCTAAACATCTTCATTTACCCGGATCCGAAAAATTCGAAGGAGGGTCGTCTCTTTTTCCCCGTTCGAACGAAGCAGCAGCGGCGGCAAACCTCCCTCTCTCACTCTCTCAGACTTCTCGTTTTTCTTCTTCATCTTCTTCTTCCAATCCTCCCCGACTGTCTTCGATCCAGCAAACAACAGCGACGCAACTTCCCTTTCATTCCCCACTCCATTCTAGCAGAAACCCAACCTCTACCGGTCCTATTTACTTCCTTCGTTTTCTTTCTTTTCGCTCTACTACCATTCCTCTGCCATCCTAATTATCAGTCGAGCTCCTTCCATCTGTGAACTCTGTTGTTCGAACTGGGTAAGATACAGTAGCGCCGATCTGAAAATCCGATGCAAATTGGTTGCTGGACCTTGGGGTTGAAGGTCGTCTTCACACCAGTTGCTATCCCGGTCGTAATTCAAGAAAATCCTCACCATTCGAGTGTTAACAATCCATGATCGAAGCGGATTAAAAGTCCCTTATAGCATCGTTTCTCAGGCTGAAATCTCGATTCAGGTATGTTTCTGCCCCCTCTGTGATTTCACTTTTCCCATTTTTTTTATCTTATTTTATTGTATTCTTCTCACCTTCTGCTGAACAGCATTTGATTATCTGTCATTAGAGACGGCAATGAAGTTCCACTGAGCCGATCTCTGTGAAATCCTTGCCGACGGTGATGAGAAGAGTTTTTGCATACGTTCGTCCCATTTATTAACATCGTTGTTTTGCTTGATTAAGCGTTGTATCATTCTCTTCCTGTTCATTTCTATCGCATGCACTCTTGTTTTATATCAACCGAGTACCTGCTTTTTCTGTTCAGTTGTTTGATTAATTTGGGGCGTAATATTCCTCTTTAACTGTTTGTCCATTACCGTATATCAAATCTTCTATGAGAAATTTTCCATGTTTTCTTGCTAGTTGGTAATCTTTAATTTGGCGTGTTTTTTTTTTTAATTGTCTTCACTTAACTTAAATAATGGTCCAAATTGGAAATACATTCTAGTTCAATCTCTAGGATTGCAATGGCTGGGTTGTGGTATGTCAATCAGAAAGTGAAAAAACGGTAGGTGTGAGATTTTCTTTCACTCTAATTCATCTCAATAAATAGGATTTACAGTTATGCAGAAAATTCAAATAAAAAAAAGAAAAATAGTAAGATGTGAAGGGATTGATGTAATCCCTCACCTATGATTTAAAACCGTGAGTAGTGTGCCGTTGGTAGAGGTTGAAACAAAAGAGTAAAAAAAATGATTACATAAAAAAAGGAGGAAAAAATAAGAATCCCTAATAATGAGTTTGGTCCCTAAAAGCTAGGTGGTTAGCTCGGGAGATAGGAACAGAAGAATAAGCTACCAAAAAAATAAAAAAGAGACAAAAAAAGAAAATAGTAATGAAATAAATAAACACGGTTCTGTAAAGAAATAAAAAACTATTAAAATAAAAAAATAGTAATGAAATAAATAGAAATTAAAAAATAGAAAAAGAAAATGTAAAAAAAAAAACAATAAAAAATGTTGATAAGGTATGTTCTCTTTTGTGTGGTTGTTCTTATGATTTGCTATCCCTATTAATTTACTTGTGTAATTGCTTATTTTGTGTCTATGCTTGTTTGGAACTTCATGTGGGCCCCACCTACTGGACCCGGGAGAGGGGTGCCTAACCCCTTCCCTCTCCCATCCGAGTCTTACTTGGGCTGGTTTAGCCGATGCCTTGGCTAGTGGAATCATTATTGAATCAAAATGATTTTGATACCATTCTTGGAGGTCCCATCACCTCCATTTCCTAACTGATGGGTGGTGACTCCATTTCCAGCTCAAGTGGCGAGTGAGCCGTTTTCAACGCTTACAATGGGAGAAATCTTTGTCTCAAGAGACGTGTTTTTTGAAAATGAGTTCCCTTGTCATAATTTTGGGAATGTTCACCAAGATCATGGGCCAGTCATCCCACTACCGGTCCTGGAAGTTCATGATACACTAGAAGTGTCAAATCAGCAGGCCCCCCACTTCCTCTGTTATTGACTCCACTCATGGACAAAAAGGGTATCGGTTATACAACATGGACATGGGAGAAATCTGTGTCTCAAGAGAAGTTGTGTTTTTTGAGAATTAGTTCCCTTACCGTGATTTTGGGAACATTCACCATGATCACGGACCAATCATCCCTTTACCAGTCTTGGAAGTTCATGATACACCAGAAGTGTCAAAATCAGCAAGCCCCCATTGATCTTACACAACCAAGTCCATTTCGGCCCACTCGCACTCGCAAGCCTCCATCTCATTTGGTTGATTATGACTGTCCTACACTATCTACTTCCCAATCCAGGTATCCCATTTCTCATCACTTCACTCAAGCTCATTCAGCCACTGAACCCACTTCATTTGTTCAAGCCAATAAACATTAGTGCTGGCGACATGCCATGACAACAAAACTTTCAGTCCTTGAAGCAACCAACTAGGGGTGGATTCGAGCCGAGCCGAGCCGAATGGTACCAGGCTCGAGCTCGGCTCGAGAATGTTCTACAAGGCTCGAGCTCGGTTTGAGCCAGAACCTTGAGTTCGAGCTCGGCTCGAGTAAAAAATTCATAAGCTCGAGCTTGGCTCGGCTCGAGCTCGATTTTGAGAAAAAATATTTTATAAAAATAATAAATTATATATAAAAATATTTTTTATTTGATATTTAAAAAGTTAAGAATCGCGAGCCTCATGAGCCGAGCTCGAGCAGCTCGCGAAAAGCTCGTTTCGTTGCCACCCCTACAACCAACACATGAACTCTCATAGATCTTCCTCCAGGAAAACACCCAATAGGCTGTAGATGGGTGTATGAGACAAAGCTCAATCTAGATGGTTCAATTGAAAGGTTTAAAGCCCGACTTGTTGCCAAAGGCTACACTCAATTGGAAGGAGTTGATTACAATGAAACATATGCTCCCGTTGCCAAACTTGTCATAGTGCGATGCCCACTTGCTCTTGCTGCAGCTCATAATTGTGAGCTTCACCAAATGGATGTTAATAATGCTTTCTTACATGGTGCCTTGCAAGAAGAAGTCTACATGCTTCCTCCACTAGGTTTACTTGCCCCTGGCGATAAACGGGTATGTCGCCTCAATAAGTCCATCTATGGCCTCAAACAAGCTTTTCAGAATTGGTTTGATACTCTGTTTCACGCTCTTAAAAGCAAGGGTTTCACTCAATCCTCAGCCTACAACACATTGTTCACTTTCAATCAATCGGGCAACTCACTTGCAGTCCTAGCTTATGTTGATGACCTTATCATTGCCAGCAATGATACAAGTAGTGTTTCAGCTCTCAAAGATTATCTCAACTCTTGTTTTCCTATAAAGGACCTTGGGCACCTATGATATTTCCTCGGCTTTGAAATTTCTAGGACATAAGCTGGGATATTTCTTTGTCAATGTAAATATACGCTTAACATACTCACTGATGCTGGCATGCTCGACTGCAAACCTAGCTCATTTCCTATGTTACAGTAGCAACACTTGCAACTCGACTCTGGTCCTCCCGTAGCCCACCCAGATCAGTACAAAAGATTAGTAGGTCGGCTGGTTTATTTTACCATCACCAGGCCTGAATTCACATACTCAGTAGATGTTTTAAGCCAATTTATGAGCAATCCTTGTCAATCTCACTTAGATGCAGTCATGCATGTCCTCCACTTCCTTAAAGCATCTCCAGAACAAGGCATCTTACTCTCTTCCAAGTGTGATTTGATCTTAAAAGTCTACTTTGACTCAGACTGGGCTGGCTGTCCCACTAGCCGGCATTCCACCACAGGATATTTCACTACTCCAGGGAATTCTCCTCTCTCTTGGAAAACCAAGAAACAAGCCACAGTGGCTCGTTCATCAGCTGAAGCAGAATTTCGATCTATGGCTGCAGCCACAAGTGAACTTATATGGTTGAAGAAACTTTTCTCAGACTTGGGCTTTCAGCATTCTGAACCCATGTAACTCTTTTGTGATAATAAAGCTGCTTTACACATAGCAACAAAATTGATTGTCACTTTGTCCGTAACCATTTACTAGCCAAAAGGATTACTACATCTCACATTCCAACTGCTCAACAGCCTGCAAATGCCTTCACCAAAGCTCTAGGTCGAGACAGACTACATAGTCTTTACTCCAAGTTGGGCATCGTTTCCCACACTCCAACTTGAATGGGGGGTATTAGGAGAAACAACTCTCCACGTATGAAGCAATTCTCCATGTGGGGCTTAGTTAGTTAGTCGGTTACTCTGTTTTATAGCTGGCATATACAAGCTGCCATGTATCTATAAAATCTGATTGAATGAAAACATTATTATTGTTTCTCTTGCTCAGATAGAATTTAGACATTAGAAGGCAGCCCCTCAAATATTTTAGCTTAGACGATCACGACAACAACAACAATGGTGACTATAGCTGAAACACTTGGCACACTGTTTTTTTTCGTTGATTTGGTGCCATTGGTATTTGTAGAGCAAGGTACATCCAGAGGAGAGCCACAGAGCCCTGGTTATGGAAGAAAGCTAAGGCACCAAAAATTTGGATATTACAGTACTGTATCAGTAACCGACGAGAGGAAAAGGATTCGAAACCCTAGCTTCTGGACGAATTCAAAAACTGGGGATTTGGTTTATTCAGGCATCTCAGATCATTAAATCTCTCCGTTACGGTTCTATTCTTGCCTGTTTTGGGAACTCAAAAACACGAACACCATAGAAATTTTGAAAATGACCCAAGTACAAAAATCTCATCCTAATAAACAACAAAGATGAAGGTGATGAGTGTGCCATTGACCACTGCCACCATAAAAAACATGGTGATGCCAGAACCCAATGAATACCCAATGAAGACCATCTTATATGATGACCCAATATCAACATTCAACAACCAAATCACTGATTTCAATAACCCATGGTTTACATACCCGTCCCTGAACATATACATTCCCAATTTTTTTGTCCATATAAATGATTAAAGTCTTGTAATTAAACCATCATATCTGGCATCGAGTACATAAGAACAACAATTCTAAACAAATTCCAAAATGCACTCTTATCTAATAACCGAATTTCCAATTACAAAATCCATGAGTTCTTAAAAGACTAATGGATGCATAAACCTACCATGAACAACTTTAATCACCTCCAGCCTTCCGATAAACGTAGTAAACCCACACTTTCCACAGTAGTGTCTATCCAAATGGTTAGCAATAAAAATCCCAGCTCTGCACTCCTGATTCGGGAACTCCTTCCTCAACCCTAAATCTTGACAAATTGAACGAATGACTTCAGCTTTTATTCGCAGTGGTGAATTGAACGGGACGTCAGTGGCAAACCATCCTGTTATTTCTTCTCTCTCAGCCATCCATCTATTTCCCCTCCCTGTTATAATCTTATTCTCTGTCTCTCTCCCCTTTTGCTCTTTTGCTCTTTCACTCTTTGAGCTGTTTCCGGCGTAACCTTAGGCATTCAATGAGGCGTGTGTATTGGCCTGAGCATAGCTTCAGGTGAACCTGAAAACCCCACTCCCTCTTACCACCAGCACCTCTTTGATGCTCGATAAACTTGATAAATGGTCCATACCCCTCTCCCCCTCTCACCATGGTTTTAGAGGCTTAACTATTTGTTTACATAGACAAATCGATGGAAGGAAACCATGAAGACTAAGGTGGTGTTCAGTTGTGTGTTCATCTTGTGGATGGACCATTTCAGCCCATGCCATGGGGTGAACTCACCGTTATGTTGGTCGTGGATGGGACTGGTCCACAATATATCGTGGACCCATCCCCATCCACAGCCCAAAATCTCGGCCACATTTATATCTCGTGGATGTGGCTGGTCCTTAATATTTCCACATTGTATTTTGATACAATACATATCTTCTACATTCTTTTCCTTCTTATTAATTTTTAAATTTTAAAATAATAAATTTTTAATATTTTATCAATAAAATAATATTTTTAATGTTTATTCTAGTATAAGCCCGATGGTGCTCCTTTTTCACTCTTTTTTTTTTAATTTTAATTTTTTATCAACAAAATAATAATTTTAAATATTTTTTTTATTGTTTTACTACCATTTTATTAAAATTAATATTTATTGATTAATATTAGTTTATCAATGCCTTTTTTTCAATATCTTTATCATATAAAATGCAAAGATTAGGCATTTATGATCGAATGTGTAGATCATTCATAAAATGTATATGAGATACATGGAATCAAAATGTGTGGTGTGGACTTGTCCAGCCCACAGTCTTTCCACAGTTCAGAACAACTGTGGAATGTGGTGTGGTGTGGATTGGTCCCTGCCATAGGGTGCATCAATTTTTCATCCACACTACAGAACACCCCCTAATACGTTTGTAAGCTACTTCTCAAGCTCATGGAGGGCTACAACAATGCTACAATTGCTCCATTATCGAATCAAAGGAAATCACCATTAACGCATAAGCTACTTCATGTGTAAGAAAACGCAAACTTAACGTGACCGGAGAGTCTAAATGAACGGTTACAATGGCTTCGTTGAACTGGGAGTTTGAGTTTTTTGAGTAATGGGCAAAATAATTTTTTTAATGCTTTTGTTAACGAACAATAAGGAAGATTGAGTCAATTGTCAGAAACAGTATGGGTACTTTAAGACAATACTAAAACAATAGAAATATAATTAGTTAAACTTTAAGACAATACTAAAACAGTAAAAGTATAATTAGTCAATTTCTTAAACCTTAGGGGTGGTAGTTTAATATATATTATATATGTATATTCTATATATTTTGTATATAAATATATTATAATATATTATTATATTATATAAATAATATAATATTACTTTATATCATAAAAAGTTTTATTACAAGTCTAATGGAATTGGATTCGAATAAGTCGGATTTCTTATCGGATTGGAGTGAACTTACCACTTACTGAATCTGATCCGATCTGTGCTCTATACTTTTGTTGTTAGGTTGCCTTGTAACTGGTTGTTGGGTCTTCCTTCTTGAACAGAGAGTCCTAACCTATTGCCTACCGTTTTATTGCCCCTCTGCTGGTGTGTCGGTGACTTTGTTGCCGCTCTGCAGAGAAGAAGAAGGTAAAGCCGCAAAGGGTTACGGGTGAGACCAAGAGACGAACCAGTAGGTCCCTCCTCTCATTGTTATTCTTCGGTTTTTTGTTGTTGTTGTTCTTCATGACGCTTTCTTCGGTTGAGCCCTGCTAAATTATCTATATTTAAAGTAGGTTAAAGTTAAACCAAAGCCCTATTAGATTAAAACAAAGATATGTTCGGCAATTTTTGTTATTCTTCATGATTATCACGATGCTCTCTTCGGTGGTTTTTGTTCTTTTCTTCATTCTTATCAACAATTCTCCGTTGGGCAGTTCTCTCTCTCTCTCTCTCTCTCTCTCTCTCTCTTTTGATTTTTCACTATACAAATTAAAACAAAGCATTGCTAGATTAACATGGCTTCCATTTAAATGTATACCCTTGAGCACAACGTATTGAACCATGGGAGAACCATAGGAAGTACTTATTGCAGATTAATTTGCAAGTATCCTTTGGAGAAGATGATCTATTTTAGCCAATTTTTGGTACCTATTGAACAATGAGCTAACGCAAAATGAGTTGTCATTAAGTTTCTTATTATTCAATTTTAATCCGTGGCCAAATGGCATAAACATTTTTATTCTAGTTTAAACTTTTGACCGCTCTCCAGTAGTGAAGCATCCTTAGAGAGAGAAAGAGATAGAGAGAGAGGAACCCAGTATCCATTCACTGAAACACCAATCAAAGCTCCATTCCGAAAACAAAAGGAGAACTTTAGCAGAAATTATCGTCAAGACCTACTTGAATGTGGTAGTCAACAATACAAGTAAGAAACTAATTATGGAACAAATTGCAACTTGCATGAATCTCCTTTTACAGAAACTAAGCAGAACCTATGGTGGTGTTGCATACTTTCCATTACCTGAAAGAAATCAAACTAAACATCACCAAGGAATGAAAAAGAAAATAAATAGGGAGATTCAGCAAACAAGAGATAATACCTTGATATCATAGTCAACGCCTCCGGAAGTGAGACTCCCAGATTGGGGGGTGCAAACAAACCACATAAAATTACAGAATATCTTAATTTTGTGCCTTTTCACATCCATTGTTTATCGACTAATGGATTATATCCATGCTTTTTTATTCGAGCCTCAAAATGCCTTGAGGTTTGGGCCTTGGCTCTGGCACACCCAACTGCCTCACCTCCATCTTTAGCCTTTTAAAACCTTCTGGAGGCCCCTTTGCTCTAGCAACAAAAATTGATTGCTATTTTTCCTTCTTCTTTCATGATGACTGTAATAGAGTATGTATACTGTTCATGTTGCATTTTTGTAGTTTAGGGTTGCAGATTAATCTGTGCTTCCATGTTGAGTGAAACGTGGAATCATCATCATTCCTATTTATGCTACATAGAGGTTGCTGGATACATAGCAATTCCAATGGATTGTTTATATTTTTCATCACCAAACTGGAAATAAGACCAGAGGATTTCTCACATTCTGATGTTATCAATTAGTTGATTCATAGAATAGTTTGGTTTAAGGCCTCTTTTGATTTATCCTGGTTTTCATAAGGCCTCTTTTGATTTATCCTGGTTTTCATACAGGTGTTTGATAGGCATGTGTAATGGATTCACATTTCATTTTTAGTTTTGAACCCACAAAATCATCACAATGAAGGCATCAGCGAATGTATAAAGAAAACACAAATGATTTTATTTTTTGGGATCTCCAAGTTACTATATTTCTATTTTTTTCTAATACTTCCCTGTATTAACTCATTTTTAGATGATAGGTTTATCTATTTGAAGACAACGATAAACTAAAATTGAAAATAATTTAATATGATTTCCTTACACTCTGTTATTAGTCCTGTCAGGATTTAGAAACCAAAATGATTATGCCTTCCTATTATACCATGCTTAAGCCATGTATACCAAGGAAATTTACATGGAACTATATTCAAGGCATAAAATTTCTGAACTGCTAGTGAAGAATACAACTTTTATTTTGATTAATATGTTCTCAAGTATGACCTATTGAGTGAAATTCACTTTATCTGAATAGATGTTTACTTTTGTGTTTGTTAAGATGCCTGTAAACTGTGAATCACTATGCAAAATTAAGAAGCAGTCAGTTCAATCAGCCTTTTAGGCATATCAAGTATGTCTGGTGATCTGTGAAATGAACTAGGTATTTATCGGTTGGGTTGATGCAATAGACTTGCTTTTTGTATGCATTAATGTCTATAGGAGAATCACTATAGTTCTGACTGATTGTTTCAATGCACTTATCTATTTAAGTCTCAGTGGCTCACTTTAGTTGTAATCTATTAAACTTGTAGGATGGAGTCTAGGACAGAAATGAAGAAACGGGACAAAGCCAGCACTGCTTTTGGTAAAAGCAAGCTAGAGGAGAGTGATGAACATGAATCTTCTTCAGAAGAGGTTACATAAGTTCTATTGGAATTCCTTATTATTGGAAATTTACTAATTATTAATGCAACTCAAGTATGAGCTTCCGTTAATACAATGGAAAGGATTGAAACTGTAGATGATGAATTTACTTCTAGAACATTAAGGGACTAACCGTAGTCCAGAAAATAATTGATTCCAATTGAGAATACTCACCAAAGCCAGAAATGGCACTAGGCTGGTGATTTAGTAGCCAAAGAACCCAATATGGAATTCTCTGATTTTTTTTGATAAATGCTGATTTTTTTTCTTCTATTATGACAGTATTGGTATTTTGGTCATTTGACTCATTTCATATATTGTCTGTGGGGTCTGGCATTAGAATTTTATTTGTCTAGTTATAATTCAAGTGTGTTTAAATCTCTCATGATAGTGACAAATCAATAATTTTAGTTTTTCCTAGTTGTAGGAGGATTGGCCTCCCCTATAGTGTGTATTAATATGCATAATCAAAAGCGTAGAGAAAGATATTGGAATGATATTTCAATGAATTCTCTGCATATTATGTTTATCGTAAGTGATTCCCATGTTGTAGAATTATTCCAGGCACCTGGAAAGAAGCAAACAGCTGCTGTATGATGCCCTCCACCTTCTCATTTTTTTCAATTTTAATTTTGATGGTTGCAGTTAGGGGTGGAAAATGGGTGGGTTGGGTAAGGGTTGAGTACCAACCCACTTATATTGACCTGCTGACCCATTTGCCACCCATATTTATGAGGTGTTTGTCGTGAGTGATACCATGTGGTAGAATTATTCCACGCACCTGGAAAGAAGCAAACAACTGCTGTATGATGCCCTCCACCTCATTTTTTCAAGTTTAATTTTGATGGTTGCAGTTAAGGGGGTGGCAAATGGGTGGGTTAGGTGACCCATATTGACTCGCTGGCCCATTTGCCACCCATATTTATGGGGTGTTAGTGGGTCACAACCCACCTTGACCCTGGCCCACCCAAACCCAACCATATGACCCTCTAACCCAATGCAGAGATTAACAAATTACAAATATTTTAGCCAAAAAAAATACACATATTAAGAAAATTATAGAAAAATACAAATATTAAGAAAAACAAAAAAAATGCAAAAAAAAAAACACAAAAATTGACGTAAATTTGCAGAAAAATACAAAGATGGCAGAAAAAAATACAAATGGATAAAAATTACAGAAAAAACTTGGAAAATGATAAAATTTAATATATATATATATGTTTAAATAAAGAAAATCGAAATTGCATAAAATACATAAATTGATAAAAATTCAAAATAATTATATTTTTCAACCCAAAAATTGTAGAAAAACAAAAAGTGATAAAAAATATCAATTGTGCAGATGAGCTTCGGCCTCCATGTGCAACGGAACTCGTTCTACTTCAACTTGGCCTCCACAGTGGTTTTTTTGGGGTTGTTTTCGGAGGCTGGCTTTTCTGAGTTTTTCTGTCTATTTCCTCTTTACAGTCTCTCATTGTACAGGGGCCTTTAGTATGCTGCCTTTTGTTATTAATGAATTACTTTACCTTACAGTTAAAAAAAAAACTTAAACTTGGCCTCCATCAACTTTATGATACTCGAATAAGTTATTGCCACTGTGTGTGGTGGTGCAGCAACTGACAAAGCCCTAAACCCCATCTTTCCCATTCTCAAAGACCAAAACCTGATTTGATTCGATGAAGAAATGGTGGAAATAAATTTTCGTCTTTATTTATCTTAAAAAAAGAAAAAGAATGTGGAGGTAGAATACCTGATCTGCCACCCCTTTCCCACTACCATGTAAACATCCATCTCTTTCTCCCTTCTGTGGAGTCAGAGAACTTGATCTTGTTCTTGACTATTCCCTCTAGATAGTAGATCTCCATATGACTCAAAGCTCAAGGTTAAGCCTCATACAAAGGGAGAGCACATTCTTTGTTGCAGTGCAATGTTTTAAAATATGGAGTCGTGACGCGAGGCATTCCACTACCTAGAGGCGTGAGGCGTAGTTTAGAACGTAAGAGGCGTAAGCCTCCCTAACACAAGGAGGTGTAAGCCTCCTTATGAGGAGGGGGGTGAGGAGGAAGAAGAGAGGAAGGGGGGGGATCTCATTTTTCTTTATTTTTAATACAAATCTTTTATATTAAGAAGAATAAAGATGCATAGCACTAGTTGAAAAAGGAGGGGGGGTCTTGTTGAAGCAGAAGTGAGCGAGCCGGAGTGGAGCAAGAGCCCCCTAACACAAAATGTTAGAGTTGATAGAACAGAGGTATTTTGGTTTATCTAATTAAACATGAAAGGCCTATTTTATTCAAGTTTAAGTCATGTGTCCCATCACTTGTAAGGGACAATATTGTCTTTCTTGTAACTCAATTAATTCAATATAAATACAAAGTGGGTCGACTAGAGGGGTGACTTTTCCTCTACTGGCCGAACCCTTCTTCTTCTTCTCTTTCTCTTTTCTTCTTCTTCTTCTTCTTCTTCTTCTTCTTCTTCTTCTTCTCTACTTCGAACCTATAACTGAATAGGATTATTTACATGGTATTAGAGCAATAAGACACCGGCTTTTTTTTTCTTCTTTTCTCATCGCCCTTTCTTCTTCCTGAGTTTGCTGCCAGCCATATCGGTTTTCTTTATTTTTCTCCTAGACTGATAGAAAGTTCGACAAGAGGCCAAAAAGGAGTGGTCGTTTTTTTTTTGTGTTTTTGGAGGTAAATATGCCTCCGGTTGCTATGATGGTGGTCGTTGAGGTGGTGTACTAGATACCCTCTATTCGGTGATACGAAGAGGGCTGTTTGTGGACAGGTATGAATAGAATTTTTTTTCGCCTAGTAGTAGACTGCGACTGCTTTCTTTTGGTCTAGAATTCATTTTTGTGGTGGTGCGAATCGATAAGTATGCATATCAGCCTCTTTTCTTTCTGTTTATACCTGGATATGTGCGTTGAAAGTAGGTTTTTCAATTGCTGAGTTCATGACAGTAGTGTGGTGATAATTATATTCTGTTGAGTAGTGTGTGGTGTGGTGCTGAATAGTTGAAGGTGAATACCTTGTTTATAATAGTGGTTTCTTTGTGAAGTGGGGAGAATTAGTTAAGATGGCATCAACCAGAGATGAGAGTGACAATAAAACAGGTGTTATGATTTCTCCAAATTACTATGTTCAAATGACATCTATTAAGTTGAATGGTGAGAGCTATGTGCCGTGGGCCAAGTCGGTGGAGGTGTTCTTAAAGGCCTAGAAAAAGGTAAAGCATGTGAGAGAGGAAAAACCCTTCTCTGATTCTCTAGGGTTCAGTGATTTGGAATAGGAGGATGCTCAAATCATGACTTGGTTGTGGAATAGCATGGAACCTAAAATTAGTGTGAATTTTATGTTCCTAGATACAGTTAAAGAAATCTGGGACCATGCTAAGAAACTTTATTCCGGCCAAGATAATACTAATAGGGTATATTAGCTGTACCAAGAGTACTTTAATCTGAAGCAAGGTAACCAATGCTTGGAGGAATACTATGCAAGCATGAGGAATATCAGAAATGAGCTTAATATATATCATCCTCTGACTCCGGATGTTCAGGTTCAACAACAACAGCGAGAGCCACTTGATGTGACAAGGTTCCTAGTGGGTCTGAAGGCTGAATATGAACCTATTTGGGCACAAATATTGGGGGGTTAAGCTCTTCCCTCCCTTAAAGAAGTGTTTGCCCGTCTTCGAAGGATATCTGTTGAGTCTACAGAGTTCTCTTCTCTTTCGGACAGATATGGTTTTGTGGTGACTAGAGGGGGAGGTCGTGGAAATAGAGGTGGAGGTGGTGGCCGTGGGTTTCCAGGAAACCGAGGTGGTTCTATGTTTAATCGGTCTGGTGGCCGCAGTGGTGGTCGAGAGTTAGGGGGAGGTTGTGGTAGAGGAAGGATTAATGCACATACTGTGGATTAGAGGGGCATACTGTTAATTTCTGCTATGATTTACATAGTCTACCCAACACTTGGGCTAACCATGCTGTGATTGGTGGCAATGGTACAGTTCGTGAAAATCAACAAACTGATCAGACTCCCTCTACATCTATTGGTGCTTTTAGGAAGGAGATGATGAGTGCACCACACAATGTTTTAAAAGCAAAAGGCGCACAAAAAGTGTCAGGTTCCAAATGTGCCTGAGGCGCAAGGTGAGGTGCGCGCCTTTTTAAAAAAGGCACACAAAATAAAAAAACTAAAAAATAGAAAAAATATAAAGGGGTCGAGCCCTATTTTACTGTTTTCAAACTAATATTTGCTGTTGATAAAAAAATATTGTGGAACAGTGGGGCGGGGCCCCTGTTTTAGTGTGGAACAGTGGGGCGGAGCCCCTGTTTTAGTGTGAAACAGACAAGAAAAGAAGAAGAAGAAGAAGAAAGTGGGGGAAGCAGAAGCAAAGAAAAAACTAAAAATAAAAAAGGAAAGGGGTCGAGCCCTGTTTTATTGTTTTCAAACTAATATTTGCTGCTGATAATAAAAATATTGTAGAACAGTGGGGCGGAGCCCCTGTTTTAGTGTGAAACAGACAAGGAAAGAAGAAGAAGAAGAAGGGGGCAGAGCCCTTGTTTTAGTGTAAAACAATTTCAAAAGAAGGGGGCTCGTTTTACTGTAAAAATCTTTTTAGAATCAGAATCTCTGTTTTCAGTGGAAAAAGAGAAAAAACAAATACCTGATGCTGATTGCTGAAAGCTTGAATGTTGCAGTGGGTTGTCCGACTGGGAGATGGCCTCTGATAGAACTTTGAAGGTGGCTGTTCGATTGAGAGATGGCCTGAACTTGATGATCCAAGAAGAACGTGGGGGGCTGAGGGCTCGAGACTTCAACTGATACTGGGAGCTTGATTAGCCTTGCATAGCATGTTTTTTCTCTCGAGAGGGTTGTGAATCTTTCTTTCATATTTTATGTACCATATCCCAACCATTTTGGCACATAAAAGGAAATAATCTATCCATAAAAATTAATTTAAAAATAAATAAAAAAACAAAGGGCAACCAA